CTCCTAGAAAGGATGAAAAACATTTCAAGACAGCATCTGACTATGGAGGGATGACATGGTATAAGAGGCAGGCAGGATTTGTCCAGTCATTAGGACAGTGAATAGTGGTACTGATTCTCCAATTACGACAGGCACTTAGGATATCAGTTTGGGTTCCTAAATTTATTCTTAAGGTTTGGGGCAATTTTTTCTTAGATCCTTTTTTTTTTTTTATTTCATAGATGTTTACTATGTTTTCCTGTTAAGTGGTTCTGTACAATCCACATATCTTGAACACATGATACATCATCTCATCCATGTTGCTAATTAAAAGCTAGCTTCTAGTACTGATGAAAACTGAGTGCAGTAGGGAATGTGGGCTTATGACTAGAGTCCCTGTGATGATTAAGGAACACCCCTTGGAGGGGGTCTTTTCAATTAGGGTACCACAAAATTTAACTTCCTGTATCTAGCATGTAAATTATATACTACAAATTGGTGCTGAGGTATTTTGAATGACAAACAATATAATGTAACATAATATAAGCTTTTAAATATTTTTAAATTATAAAAGGAATGCATGCTACTTGTATAACATTTGGAAAAATATAGTGAAATTATCATGTCCTGTGCCCAGCAATTACTTTCACTATGGAAACCATTTTTCATGTGTATGAAACATACATATTTCATCATATTTATTGTAGCTATTATATATTTTATTATCCTCACAAAATATATTCCTATGATTCAGATAACTGGCTGGTTAGATAGATATTTGCCTTACTATATCAAGTTCATTCCTTTGGCCTGAAGGATACACATGATTGTGCTATCCATTGAAAATTGAACCTTGTTTTGTGACGTAACAAATGATAATAATTATTTTCTTTTCAATCTCCATGTAAATGAAATGTAAATTGTATTGAGTAAGACCCATGACAGAAATCCCAAGGAATAGATGTATAGAGGAGGAATTGACCAAGGAATTGGATGTTGGGGGTTGAGGATGGAGCCCTTAGTGATGACTTGGACACCTGGGTTGACAGGGAGACTTCCCTTCACTAGCCAGCAGTGGAGGGGAATTGGTTATGGGGTGGATTTTCTAGTTAATATATACACTGATATGTTTGGGAAGTAATTTTCCAGCCTATTTTCTGTGTCTTCTGTTTTTCTTGCGTTGACTTCCTACAGTATCTCCTAATAAAAATTGATATTTTTAACTTAAAAATGTGTTCTTTTGTACATTAACATTATCATTTAAAAGTCAAACTCATGAAGGGATTTTTCATCAATAGAGCTTAAATTCTGATGAAAGTGTTATATAAGGCCTGCCTTTGTACAAAGCATATATATTGAAATTACCTTTGGTAGACTGAGAGAAGAAAGGAAGAAAATAAGTGTTATTTTAAATGTTAATGTCAGCATCTTCCTAACTTCTACTGATGTCTGAATTAATCTACAATATCACATCAGTTTATAGAGGGATAAAGTTGAGTGTAGCATATGGATCTGAACTTATATCTGCCTAATAGTATAACCTCCTTATCAACTTTTCCTCTCCTAAGAGATGCTTGAGTCTTGGTGTACAACATCTGTGCCTGAGGCTTCAGCATGAACAAGCCTCAGGGGAGCCCTTTATCAAGTCAACATTTATTGTTCAAAAGGGTTGTACTTTTCAGTATTGTCCCAACAACACTCTCCAAGCCCTTTAGTCTTTCATCTTTTTTTAAATAGACCTTTTAGGAAAATCTGTTGGAATGGTCGCACACACAAGCCAATTGGCTCCATTGGGTGGTCATTGCTGGAAACAGGCCTGAAGCTTTAACAGTTGTCTTGGTTAGACTGATTTGGTGTGTTTCTTTAATAGACAGTTTCAGATATCTGTAAGTATCCTTCAGAATTCAAAGAAAGGGAATGCAAGGAGGATGTGATGGGATGGGGAAATCTGAACTTGAATCATAGACTCCTCCGCTGGTGGGAAAGCAGGCAGTTCAACTAGACCTTTATCTCAGAATATAAAGGCTGTGACAGACAGGCTGCATGGGAATGTTGCAGAGGATACCCAGACTGGCCATTTCATGGACAACTGTTCTTTGAGAATCTTAAGCCTTTTATGGCTGACTAGTGTGGGTGGTTCTTCTACCTGGATTTACTTTTCCATATGTCGCCAGCTGACATCTATGCTAGGGAACTGGAAATGAGATCTCATGGTCTGCTTTTTTTTTTTTTTTAAATTCATATGTGTTATGCATGTGTCTTAGGGTTTTATTGCTGTGAAGAGATGCTATGACCATGGCAGTTCTTGTAAAGGAAAATATTTAATTGGGGCTGGTTTAGTCTATTATTGTCATGACAGGAAGCATGGAAACATGCAGGCAGACATGGTGCTGGAGAGGTAGCTGAGAGTTCTATATCTGGATCTTTAGGCAGCAAGAAAGGAGAGAGACAGTGAACAGTAGACACCCCCAGTGACATACACAAAGGCACACCTACTCCAACAAGGCTACATCTCCTAATAGTACCAGTTTCTATGAGCTTATGGGGGCCATTTTCAGTCAAAGCACCATATTCTACTCCCTGCTGCCCCCCCATATACTAGTAGTCATATCATAATGCAAAAACACATTCAGTCCAACTTCAAAACTTCCCATCTATCACAATCTGTCACAGTCTCAACACTGTTTAAAAGTCCAAAGTTTAAAGTCTCTTTGAGACTCATGGCAATCTCTTAGCTGTAAGCCCTGTAAAATCAAAATACAAAAGCTGATCACATACTTCCAACATACAATGGCACAGGATGTACATTACCATTCTAAAAAGAAGGAAAGGGAACATAGTGAGGAAATATTGGACAAAAGTAAGGCTGAAAACCAGGTGGCAAATTCCAAACTCTGTGTCTTTGTGACTGAATTCAAAGTGCTTTTCTAATCTCCAACTCCTTTCAGCTTTGTTAACTTCAACATACTTCTATCTCTCCTGGGCCACTTCCACACTTGAAAGCTTTCCTTAGTAGATATCCTATAGCTCTAGCATCTCCAGCATCTTGGGGTCTCCACGGCAATCCAGGCTTCACCTTCACAGCTTCACGCAGTGGCCTCCTTAGGCGTCCATTCAGGGACACCCCTGACATATGCCTGGACTCAATGACTTTCCTTAGTTGTGGAGGGAGATTCCATAACCTCTTTCTTGTATCCTTGATTCTCAGTCCAGAACCATGTGGAAAAGCTGCCAAGTTCTGGTGCTTGCTGGGGCTGGAACATGGCCCTCTTGTTCAAATATATTTTCACCATCTTTCTTTTTTTAATAGTTTCCTTCACTGTCTAAGCTCAGATGTCCTGGAACTCTCTCTGTAAACAGGGCTGGCATCCAGTTTAGAGATCTTCATGCCTCTGCCTTCTGAGTACTAGAATTAAGGCATGTGTCACCACACTAGCCCTAAACTTTTCTTTAATTCCTTTTCAAAAATTGGAAGTTTAACTGGGTGTCTTACCCTGAGGCCACCACTACCTTTATTCCATTTAGGTTCTGTCTTTTTTTTAAACTTTTCCTGATGTTCTTTTTCTCCTCAAATTGTACATTTTGTATTTTTTCTTGCTCAGCTTGCTCATTTTCATTATAGATTAGCATAAAACTGGCCACTAACAACCACAAAACACAGTCAATACTAGGCTCTTTTAAAATCTCTTCTGCCAAAGCTGTTAATCCAAAACTTTTCAATTTAGCCTCATGCAGATTTTTGTTGGACAACAGCATTAAGCAGCCACATTCTTTGTCAGAATGTCACAAGAATGGTCTTTAGGCCACATGCTAATATTCTCAGAAACTTTTTGAGTTGAGTCCCCACAGTTCAAATCACCCTCAGCACCGCTGTCTTCCATGTTTCTATTACTATGGCCCATTAAGCCCAGCTTAAAGTTTTCCTAATCCAAAGTCCCTCAAGACACATTCCTCCAAACAAAAACATAGTCGGGCCTATCACAGCAATACTTCAGTCCCTGGTAACAGTTTCTGTCTTAGTCAGTGTCCTGTTGTTGGGAAGTGACACCATGATCACAGCAACTTTTGTAATGGAAAGCATTTAATTGGGGCTGGCTTACAGTTCAGAGGTTTAGTCCTTTATCATGGTTGTGAGAACCATGACTGCACACAGGCAGACATGGTCCTGGAGAGGTAGCTGAGAATTCTACATCTAGATCAGCAGTCATCAGGAAGAGAGAGACTCGTGTGTGTGTGTGTGTGTGTGTGTGTGTGTGTGTGTGTGTGTGTGTGTGTAAAGGTGAAATATCATGGGCTTGCTACTCTATCCCTTCCAACCTTTCTCTTTTTTTACTCCATCATTGCCATTTTGTCCTCGTCTAAGGCTCATTTATTCTGGTCCAAGCTGGTTAACCCTTGTCCATTCTCATTGTTTCTATCTTTTTTAGATCTACCACAGTGGGGGGCTATGCAGACAATTCCCAGTTTTTAGGTTCTCAGCACCAGTTTCAGCAGGTTATGTTGTGACCTGACCAAACTCCTCTCCTTTAGGTGTGTTCTTCATTCTGCTTCAGCTACTTTTCATGTTCCTTTTTATTAGGAACACAAGAGCTGTTTGCCATGTTGACCACACATGGCTCAACTAACATTTTTCTTTCCTTAATCAATGGTCCATATAAATTTCTTGGGGATCACGTTCTTCAGTTGGTCACTCATGACACTGTATTCTTTGATATCAGCCTATGACCTAGTTTTGATATTTTGTTTATAATAGATTCTAGCTAGGTATGAGAGAGAGAGAGAGAGAGAGAGAGAGAGAGAGAGAGAGAGAGATCCCTTGTAGATTTCATCATTTATTTAAGTATCTCATTTTTGAGAGGCAAGACTATAGTCATCTGTCATCTCTTGTGATAAAAGGTGAGCAGGAAGCCATGGCCTAAGTAATGTCCTTGTAGGATCTCCAGAATAGTTCTTTTTTGTAGTTTGCCTCCATCTGCTCATCATGATGGGATTCAGCTTTTGCTCTCTGCTTTTTCTTTCAGAAAGTATTATGAGGGATGCTGAGGACTTTATGCTTTGGAAAGAGACACGGCTCTGGAATTAGAAATTGCCACTTCTGAGAGGATGCTGGGAATCTGCAGAGGGAGACGGAAATTCTTGGCTGCCTCTTTGACTCTGCTCTGCATCCCAGCCATCACCTGGATTTACTTGTTTTCTGGGAGCTTTGAAGGTAAGAACAAAAGCCAAGTGAAAGTGAAAATGGAGGGGTGTGTGTGTGCAAAAGAATACAGGCTGTTATAGAGGCCTAGAAAGAGCCTGGAAGCCCTTAATGTTTCTTGGGTAAAATATTGGATTAATGTTGCCTGTCAGGGGAAATGATGTGTAACATTCCCACAGGTAGTTGGAGGAGGTCAGCATAGTGAGGAGTGAAAGAAAAAACTAAACTAAAACTAAAATATAAGTTTCTGCGGTGGCAGGGCGTGGATAGACAGATGTCCAAAGCCTGTTTGGTCACATTGTCCCTGTGTAGTAAACACAGGGGAGAAGGTTGAGCCTTGTTAAATGGCTTGACTTTCCTGAAACCAGATACTTTATTAATTCATCCATCTAGTCATTTGTTGGTTCACACATTCAACATTTTCTTGCTTTTTTGACATCCTCAGTAAACCTAGTGCTGAGAATACGAAGATAACAGATCTCGACATACACTGTGTCATGGATACAGACAGGTGTATGTGCTGTGATAGAGAAGGCAGGGTACTGGGGGAGAGATTTGTGGGAGCTGTCAGACTGAGGCTGGGGATGAAAGATTATCCTTCACACTGACAAAAAGAGCTTGGGGATGAAGTAAAGGAGTTGCCTTCCCTGAACAAATAAAAGCAAATGACCATTGCTGCCACTTCCCAGAAATGAATAGGAAAGACAAGCCTTGCCATTTTCCTAGCCAACAGTTCTGAATGTGGTGTAATGTCTTGGTTGTCAGTGATTATGTCTCTGCTTCAAGGTGGGAGGCAAGGTTGGTGTAGATGTGGAGACTTCTTTTTTTAATTTGTCCCACACTAGAATTAGAAAAAAAAAAAAAAAAAAAAAAAAACCTTGCATGACAGTCTGTCTCAACAAAGTCACTACTATGTGTTTGAACATTTCCTTTGTGCATAATTTTATTGACAGCTCAAGGCTGCCTTTTAATTAAGCATTTGGCTCCACATTCGGAGCTGGAGTTAGTGAGGCTGAATATAAAGATGACAGAGCTGTGCACTTGCTGAACAGAGGTGATTGTTTTTTATTTAAAGATTTATTGTTATTGTTTTTAATTATTTGTGGTTATGTATGTCTGCATACGAGTATGTGCAGATGTCCAAGTAGGCCATAGGTGCTAGATACCCAGAGTTACAGCCAGTGTGAGTTGCCTAATGTGGGTGTTAGGAACTGAACTTCCATCTTCTGAAAAAGTATCAATTGCTTTTCACAGCTGAACCATGTGTCTTGACCCCAGAATGGGGGTGATTCTAGATCCCTAGCCCATAGCAGGAGCCCAATGTTACACCCTGTCATTGTCCCTTTCTCCTAGCAACGTCCCTAGACTGGTCAGACACTTCATCTAAACAGCTTTAATAGATTAAATTGTACTCTGGCACTGAGGGACTCCTTTCTGCAGAGGAGTCAGAGGGAAAGTGGTGAGTTGATGGTGATCCTGGTGAAGTTAGGAGGAAAGTTTTTCATCTGAGTCAATGTGAGAGGGGCTTTATGAAAGAAGCAGAGGCACCCAGGGCTAGTTCAGTTCCAGATGTGAATATGTGACTGGGCATGGTGACCATGCCTAAAGCCCCAGTACAGACTGAGGCAGAAGGACTTTTGAGTTTCAGCCTAGCATGGCTTAACATGATGATACCTTTACAAAACCAAAACTGACCACAAACCACAGCAGAGCAGAACACAGCTCAGCACAGCATACCACATCAAAGCATAGCAAAGCACAGCATAGCAAACCAAATGAGAGAAAAATAATAATCAAAGGGAAAACAGGCTTTTGGCAATACAGGAAAACTGCTAGTGATATTAGCATAATAATCTAGGAGGAGGAGAGAGTGGGGATGGATATGATCAAGATACATTGTGTGTGTGTGTGTGTGTGTGTGTGTGTGTGTGTGTGTGTGTGTGTGTGTGAAATGTTCAAAAAATTATCAAAAATATTTTAAAATTAGCATAACAATGTTAAGAAGGCAATGATGATATTGACAATATAAACAACTGTCATTGTTATCATTTGTGTGTGCCAGACATTGTACAGAATCATTTTTTAAAGTGACTTATCTATAGTACTGTGAATGACCCTGTTGTAAAGATGGGAAGCATACAGTATAAAAGCTTTGTTGATCTGCCCAAGGCCTCCAAGCCAGTCAGGATGGAGCCCAGCTTAGATTCAAGAGCTTAAGATTTTTTTCTAATACCATACTGTAGACTGAAGTTATGGGGATTTTGGCAAGGAATTTTACTAGATGCCACATGACCTTTATACATTGAAGTTATATAGAATTAATTTTGTTTCAGTCTTAAAAAATTAATTTATTCTTTGATAGTTTTATATATGTATATAATTCACCATAGACACAGTCATCTCTCCACCCTCCCTTATCGTCTGCTCATACCCACCAATCCCCATTTCTTCCTATCAAGTCTCTGTGCCACTTTTCTTCCTTTTGTTTTTGTTTTCTCTTGTAATGTACTGAATTTAACTAGGGCTATCATGAACATGGATGTGTCACTAGCAATAATGATTTTTCTCTCCTCTAGTAGCTTTTTTCTACCATTAGTTGCACTCTGTGGTGGCCTCATGAGCCCTTCCCCCGTCTATGAATGAATTTACTGATTTGGTCTTATGTGGACTCTCTTTAAGCAATTGTAGCTGTTAGGAGTTTGTGAGTGTCATGGCCATGTCATGCCCCTAAGACCATTGTTCATGGCCCTTCTCTTTATTCTTCAGCTGTTATGTTCTTTCCAATTCTTCCTCCATGATATTCCCTGAGCAGTGGGGGAGTGGGGGGTGATATGTGTGTCCTCTTTAATCCTGACCACTCTATAATCACTTTTTCTCAGTACCTTTACCATTCATGAGTCTGGGCCTTAACTGCCATTCAGTTGTGTTCCTGTATCCCTTTCTAATCAAGTTGGTACTGTAGCATGCAAGGTGTAACACTGGGGGAATATTACTATAGAATTTTAATTCATGCTCAGTGGCACAAATTAGTCTAAACTGATTTTGGGGGGAAAAGTATTTATTAATGAGATGGTTTAGTGCTTGCCAACTTGATGAGATCAAGAGTCACTTAGGGGACAAACCTCTGGACATGTTTGTAAGGAAGTTCCTAGATTGGTTTAATTTAGATGGGAAGACCCACTTTTAATGTGGGTGGTCCTGAAATGAATGAAAAGGAGAAAGAAAGCTGAGCACGAGTGTTCATATTTCTCTGCTAGCTGCTGTGCAATGTGACCAGCTGCCTTAATCTTCTGCCACCATGCCTTCCCTGCAATAATGAATCTAAGTGAACTGACCCAAGTTAAGCCCTTCCTTCCTTAGGTTGTTTTGGTCAAGTGTTTGGCCACAGCAACAAGAAAAGTAACTAGTACAAGTGGTTAATACAGTAGAGTTACAGATAGTCTAGGCTGGAGGCAGGGTTGGGTCAGGTTGCTCAGATGATGTTTGTGTTCCTAGGTCTTCCTCCATTCCTGTGGTTGACTTCTCTGCACTGACTCCTCTCCAGATAGCGTTTCCTACATGGAGAACGTATGAGGCTTCCATCTTATCCTTCTATTCTTCCTCATTCCAGAGCATTGCCTCTGACTGGATTACCTGTGTTTACTTGCCTTAATATCACAACACAAAACATGCTCACTGTAGTCAGAGCTTAGGCGAGAATTTGGCACTTTATAGTTACCCCTGAACTCTGTAATATATTTTTTCTGGTTACAAGCTAGTAAGGAAAACACCCCTTGATGGCAAAGTGGAGATCTAGGTTGTGGGGAGCTTGTAGCTGTCTGTTTATGATTTGCTATGAAGCATCAAAATACGTGGTCCAGCCACAGCTGATGGAGTGTCTGGAGTCATTGATATAATGATCTTACCAGACTGTTAAGGAAATTATGAGAAATTTGAGTATAAAGGCAATATTTAGAACAGCACAGCCAGATTGGATGCGAGTGTTCTACTTGTTAGCATAGTACTTAAGAATAAACTCGAATCTCCGAGTCACAAACTACATTTGCTAAGTGCTAGGTGACATGAGCACAGTAGCAAAAATGTCTAGTAGGAATGACAAAGCCTATGGATCTTCACTTTCCAAGCACTAGCTAGCCTGTAGCATTTATTTATAGGCTGTACACTAGAAGCATTGTCTATAGACAAGTCAGCATGCTTAGGAAGATATAGGTGAACAACATTGTCAGCTCAAGTTGTTTACATAAGCAGGAAGGAACTGGAATATTTACCCTTGAGACACAGAGGCTCAGCATGCATAGGATCAGCTTCAGGAAACAGTCCATGTCACTGGGGCATGAAATAAGGACAGCTCCAATGGCCCTTGACTTTGACTAGTGATGTGGCCAGAAGTCACATGTCCAGCCCCTCATAATGAAGATTGCTCTGTGCCTGGCTGAAATGAGCTGTCCAGAGAGGGTGTGTAATGCCCCTAGGAGAAACGTGAAAGCAGAAGTTCATTGTCCTGAATTAGTGGTAATCATCTAAGATGACCTGTGTGACCTGACTCTGAGATCTGTAGACTCTAGAGGAGGCTGAGTAGCCACCAGCAGTCAAAAGTCATCTCTTTTGTGATGTACCCTGTCTGTTGCTGCAGGCAATGTCCTTAAAGAGGTTCCGTATATATGTTCTTCTCTCAGTTGTTAATTATCACCAGTGCTCCCTATACCTCACTGACTGACACCTTTAAGGCTTTGGCTTTGTAGTAGGTGGTGCCATAAATAACAGAGTGTTGCTGCTGGAATTTATGGAAGTATGATTCTCCTCTGAGCTGCAGATATTCTTGATACTAAAGTTTAGCAGTCTGATTAGTTGATTACCTGGAGTGGCACAATGAGACTAGAGCACAGAACAGAATCAGGCATCCCAGACTGTGAAGTCAGCTTAGCTGGGCATAGCTGGGTACTTGGAACATAGTCTCTCTCCTCCCTTAGCTTTAGTCTCTGTAACATGAAATAAAATTATCAAAATGAAGC